TAAATTCCAGTGAAATATATTTATATTTGTGGTTGTAATGTGACAAAATATGGAAAAGTTCAAGGGGTATGAATACTTTTGCAAACCACTGTATGGTACTGGCTAATAAAACCTCTCAGTTAAATGTTTTTCCTAACTCAGAACTCAGGCTGGAAACTTTGCCAGGACGGGCCTTATTAGGCCATAAATGTGAGGAAACAGGTATAACCAATTGAGCCACCATGCAGCTCTAACACAACTTTTAAAAACACTATTTCATATTGTTTGCTGAAGGGAAAAGGGTGTGACTGAATTTTTTAGCATCACATTAAAGCTATGAGAAACATTTGACAAATTTCTTATGCCTTTTCTTGCAGTGTGTATTAACAAATTGGAAAGAAAAATAAAATCAGACGTACATTTTAAATTAGAATCAAGTATTCAGTAAGCTCATGATGTGCTACAAGTTAAATCCTAATAAACATATGTGAAACATATCTACAGTACAGGAAACACTGGATGAGCCATCTCTATTACATAATGTTGCAATCTATGAAGGGTTGAGTGGTCTCTGCTCAGATTAAAGTTGAGGTCAGATTAAACTCCTGAATTAGGAAATCAACAAAAGAAGCATGGCTACAGTCAAAACAATATGCCTGGCAGGGCAATGGCCTTTATTTGACCTGACAAAACACACAGGAGGGAGCCGATTGATCGTGTACTCACCAGTTGAACTCATTGTAGTCATTGTGTGCCTCCCACCAGAAGTAGAACCACACAAGCAGGAGACAGAAGGTGAAGAGGAGGATGAGGGACCACAGCAGCTCCCACTTGAAGTGCACACATAAAAACACACAAAAAAAGATGAGAAATTATTCTCATTGCCCTGGTTAACTGTATTAAAGGAGACATATCATGCTAAATGCACTTTTTTGCATTTATAAACTATTTTTTGTACAATTAAGTGTAGAAAACTTGAATTTATTCTGTCCAGTTACTGCAAAGATATTTTTATATTTTTTATGGGTCAAATTGTTCAGTTTGTTCAAAATCTGCTGTTGCTTATTTTATGTCATTGTTTATTTCGTCAACCTTTTTTCTTCGGAACTCCCATTTATGGTAATGTATTTCCGGCCAACTGGATTTCATAGTCCGCCATTTTTTCCTCGCTGTGTGATTTTGTAGTTCATAGCGTCATGCCGAATATGCAAGTGCAGAAGTCAAAATGTTCGGTTCTGGGGTGTGTAAACCCACATTATTATCTACATAGACTACCAGCGTCAGAGCTTCTTCAAAGTGCCTGGTTAAGTTTTATTTTTCAAGGAAATGGACCCACAACAGGGCAGAAAGTGCTTGCATCATCCATAATTTAATTATATCTCCCTTATTCAAAGTCGTGTCACAAGGGCATGTGATGTGTGAAAGTGTTGAATGAGAAAACTTTCCTCACAATGTTAAACAAAAATTACAAAAAATAAGCGACACTTTACTGTTTCTATTATGCAAAGACTGTGTACATTTTAATGTTGTTGATGTTTTCAAGACTGCGCTGCTGTGGATTCATCTCCAGTTGTCCCAGACAAGGCCAGCATCTCCACACCACTTCCTGATGCACGCGTCTTCACTACATGTCCTGATGCACGTGTCTTCACTACATGTCCTGATGCCACATCTTCACACCACCCTCTGTATCACATCTGAACTCAGTCCACACCCAGTGGGAAGATCCTTCACAACAGGATCACACATACTTCCACACATCTCGCAGAAAGGATGTGCAGGACAAGATGATTCAGTGTGATGAGGTTGCATATTTGTGAGCCATCATATCAAAATGAGGATTAATTCGAATTTGGTCAAAATGACCTAATTACATTTTTAGATTCTTGGCTTTAAAAGCTACATTTTGATATCTGGATCATTCTGATATCATAATTGAATCCATATATATGACTCATAATTGAATCCATATATATGACTAATATCTTGTTGGTTACAATAATACATAAATATTTGGTCTGAATCCTAATTTGATGTAATTTTAATGAGGAATTTTTGATGTCCTTATAAAGAGGAAACCTCAAGTTATATTTGAATATTGAGATTTTCCAGCTAAAAAGAAACAAAACTTTGCTAGCTCACAGGGAAAATCTTAAAAATTTAAGGCGGTTTTCCTCAAAATCTGTTTTTTTGTTGCTAGTACTCAAAATAGTGCTTCCTAATTTTGTTTTATGATTATATTTCAGACAGTTCATTCAACTGATACATTGATAAGGCTTTTATTCATAATATTTTGACTAATGCAATTTTTGTTAACATTTTAGTCAAAACACTATATTTGCCTATTTCTCCATATACCACTTTTGGACTTAATCCTCGTTTCGATGTGATGGGTCACATTTCATTCTACAAAAAAATTCTGGATTTTTTACTGTGTTCTGTGCACTTTTAATCTTCAATTTTTGTCATAAAAACATTTCACTGCAAGTTGAACTTTGTGTATGTGATAAATTTATTTGATTTGATTGCTCCCATTTTTATCTTCTGTTGTTAACATATTTTATGTAGGCAATGCATTCCACATACAGAAAAAGCTATTGAACATATATAATTTTGCATTTTAGGTAAAAATGATTTTTATCAAAACTATGAATATAATTTGACACTTTTTATTGTTTATCAAGTAGTAATAAAGTACATAAATTCTTACATTCAATGTTGTCAGTACATAATCATGTCACTTTCCAATTAGTGTTTTCTGGAGAAGGAAAAGTGGCTGAATTTGTGCTTTGCTAACACCACCTCTGAAGTCTTTGTGTGAAAGATGATGAGGTGTGTTTGGGAGTACTTCTGTCATTAAAGCCCTGGAGTTAGAGTTGAAATGATGCTCTGCCTTGTGGCTTTGGGTTCCAGGTTCTTTGCTGTCCCACAGACCTGACATACAATATTAGTTACAGTTCCAAAGTAGAATGTGACTGATCATTTAATTATGATTTAAGTTCTGATTTGACATATGCAAAAGTGAATGATTTAGACATGAAAAAGAAGGATTTAAAAGCATGATATGATACCTTTAAAACAGACAAAAATAAGTTATTTTATTGATACTGAATTTTAAATTTAAATTCAAAAACCTTGTCATGGTGAGAATTTGCAGCCAGCCTGATAACTGAACTCTGCAGACAGTTCTCCCTTATATGCCCTGCTCATTATCAAGGAATGATTTAATAACTTCACATGTACCCTGACTGTTTGCTGTCCTCAACTCTCACGTACTTTGTACCACAGCAAATACTAAACAGACCACATCCTCAAACAGGAACAGACAGAAATCCACCTTGAGGCCAGACGATGGAGGAGAAGTTCATGCAGTGAAGCACATTTTTTGTGCAATTAAGCATGTTACGTGAATCACACAAATCTTTTGTAAAAAATCAGAAAGAAAAGACTATTCCAAAAGACTCCGAGCACACTGGGATCCCAGCCAAATTATTTTATTATGCAAGTATCGCATCACATGTTTATGAGCGCAATGTGGACCGCAGCGTGGAGATAAGGTCACTTGGTTAAGCAAACTAAGCGTATGGGGTTGAATACACCACAGCTGAGTGCCGAGGATCAAATCTGTATGACCTCAAACAGCTGAAGTAACACCCACATAATCCAGTCTCTTTGGCATGGTCTTCCTAAAGTCTGTGTGTGTTTTAAATATTGGATGAGATASAATCCGAAATACTCCTAAAAGACAGTTTCAAAAAAAAAAATAAAAAGGAAAAAAACTTTCCTATTTTTCAGTATTCAGACCAGGGATGAGGATGATTAAAAGATTATCGATGGATTTCAGTTAGCTTAACACATCCCCTCTACTTCCTCAACCATGTGGTCTTGGTCGTTATGAAGCAAAACATTTAATGAACTACTTTAAACTGTAATAATAAACTCTTTGGGATCTGCATTTCCACATTCRGAATTCCCACTTTGTAATCCTCTATGTTACAATATTAATCAACATCATCAAATGTAGACATTTGAACATCAGTTCTGAATATTTCATATCCATGATACGGTGCATTTAATAGATTTTACCCACACCACCCAACTGAACAAGACGTGCACATCATGGAATTAAGAAAGCAGTTAAATTAGTGTTTATTTAATTTTATTTTTGTCTAACAATGCTAATACATAGATAAGTAATGATCTTTCCCAGAATTAAAACATGGAAGCATCACTTTCCAGAACCTAATACACTGTACTGCTCTTCTCTTTCAAATGCCAAACTTGCAATAAAAAAGTCCCTGTTTGCATGCAAATWTGCTCTGCTTACTGTCAGAAATTTACATTTTCARTCAGTTAAATGGAAAATGTTCTGTATATTAGTTTCAGCAGAAGTAAATCTGACTAATATATGGGTTTGATGTAAAACGAGCACATTTGCACACTATGATTTTTAAAAGTAAGTTTTTAAAAATGTGTACTGTAAAACAGCTGAGAATGAAAACACTATTAATTTTGTGCTCCTAAGTGAAGATGGTTTTATGATTCTGTAAATTCACTTATCTTTGTTGATATGCCTGTCTTAAAAAAAACACACTAGAAAGAAAAACTAATTGAACACATTTATTGACATCAGAATATTGGAGACAGAGTAAAGCAGATTAATTCACGTTACAGACGGGCTGCCAAGGTCCCTGTGGAGGCAGAAATGTTTGTGTGTGACAGGAGCTGTGATGAGAAAGCACCGACAGTAGTTCCCATGGTCTTTAATGACCACCTGGTTGAGCCGACCTTGCTTCTAAAGAGGACATTGTTCTGTCCCGCTCACTCTAAATGCCCTCCTCTTCTTCTCCCTCTTAGCATCACGTGATACCTGGGAAATCTCTGACAAGTCAATCAGTAACACAAAAACCTTCTGTTACATAGTGTTAGTGAAACATCTGCTTCTGGATAAATCCAATCATTAGTGCTGCCTTTTTATATTGTCTATTTGATCAGGTCAACCACATTTTAGAGAAAATCTAATCTTATCCAGTCAACAGAAAGATGTGACTATCCCTTTATCCCTCTTATCTCGTCTTGAATATTTCATTATTTGGAGGTGATCTTGAGAAGAGTTTCATTTTATCTCTAAATATTTTTACAAGGAATTTTGTTAAGTCTCTTTTCCTCCGTTCACTGAGCACTACAATTCAAACATACATGACTTGTCCCTGATAACATTACATTAAATGTTCTGCATGACTGCAACAAATATTTCAGGCACAAAACCAGGTAACGGAACAAAACCAGCAGAAAACCATCATAGTTTTCATGAGATTGCACCAGTGCCTTGCTCTGCCAAATTATGTACAACTTTATAAAAAAGTAAAGAAATAAAGATAAATTCAGAGGGTTTATAACTGTATTAAAGTTGTTCATTTGCCACAGGAATGTCTCACGGGTATAAAAGACCATCTTCGTTTTTGTTTCAGAGGAAAACACATTAAATTAAGTGATTGTTTCAGACTCTGAACCACAACAACGCAGGATTTCAATAAGACCCTATATGAGTTTACATTCCCTCTGTGATTTTTCTACTAGAACTTTATTTGTCTTTAGCGGCTCAGTGCAACACAGTGGATTACATCTGAAACAAGCAATAATGCATTTATTAAAGAAGCTTATTGAATCGTTCCCATGCATCTGCAGCAATGCTCTTATGAAGCTGGGGTTTTAAGAATCACTTAAATGTCAGCTCAGATATCATCATTTCTATCAGTTTTAAGAAAGGTTTACCAGCACAGAACGTTTGATCTTTGCTGTTTGTGCAAGATTAAATTCTGTGATGAAGCACGCAGTAATTATTTGTTACAGTAAATACTCTCGTGAAGGATGACAAATAGACTCGCTTAGTTGACATTTTTGTTGTTGCACTTTAAATCATTTGCATCATCACGTAACAAATATGCTAAGCTTATTATAAAGTTTCATAATCTAAGAAGTTTTTGGTGATCTTTTGGAAGAAATACCACACATGGATTTTTTGTCTTTTTTTGACAAAGAATCAGGAGTATTTGCATCTAATCAGTACATATTTCTTTTTAAATTAAGACTAAGGTATCTGTGTTTTTCTCTCGCTATGAATGCCTTCTTTATCTACAATAAACAAGATAATTATTCTTTCCTGCCCAGCAGCTACTATATAACAACACATGACWGCATGAAAAAGAGACATGACAAAGTACATGCTGTACGAAACAAAGGGTTAATTTACATTTACTCAAGTATTGATTAAATTAAGATAATGCTCTTGAGATTAGATTAAAAAAAAACAAAACATTCACATTTATAATTATCTTTCTTATCTCCAAGTTTTGGGTCACTCATAAGTAAAAAAAAATAGACACAAAAAAGTAACAGTTCAGTTTTGTGAAAATGTCAATAATAACTTCAAAAATGTTAAAAACAAAATAAAAATACAGCTAAAGCTAGTAAGCTAGTATTACAGTCCTAAAACATGTACGGTAAGTCGCTCAGTAAACATGTAAATAATTACTGCAGTATTAATGCTCCAGCAATAAAACAAGCATTTCTGAATGTTGGAAATATAACTTAGTAACTTTTTTTTTCTTAAAAATCTACATTTATATCTTATGCAAAGTTTCATTCACTCTCTGGTAACAAGAATTAGGATGTCTGCTGGTAAAAAAAAAGAGATAATCTGTTTTTTATGCTTGTAAATTTTTGTCATTCTTTGTGGTAAGTAAATTTTAGAGTAAACTTTAAACAGAAAGCATTTAAAGGATGGAGTTAATTAAGCCACGCAGTGTGCTGACATACAGTATGTTAACAGGCTAACACCATGGGATGTCCTTGATTTGTGTAGCTGCCATAGAGATACTTCTTGTAAACCACAACCTTATTGCCTCTCTGTCTCTGTCTTCATTGGACTCACCCCCTCAGTCATTTGTCACATTCCTGAACACATCCAGTTAAATCCCTAGCACCAAAGCTGCAGTGCGTTGCTTTAAAACTAAACCAGAGCTGGATATGCAATGCAACGAGCTGCAAACAAACCTYTCATTCTGAAGAAAATAAGAGGAACTACAAATACTAAACATTGCATCAATTATTTTTAAAGGTTTTTAKCTTTGTTTCCAATTAAATTGATTCAGAGGATTCCTCCCACCACCCTAACTTCTTTCTTTATATTTTTCCTTTTCTCATTAACTAGTGTTAAATGTGTTTTGGCAGTAAATAAGACACTTCAAGAGATACAAGTCATCACTTAAGACTGTTGGCTCACCTCAAACTTACTCTGAATTTTTAAGAAAACACAGTTAAATGTGATCCTCACTCAAAATAATTTAAAACCAATTCTGATGTTGAATCAGTGGTTGCTGCCAGATCAACGAGATGGTTCCTGAACTGAACTCAAGATGTAACTCCTGCAATCACGGGAAGCTGGTCAGAAGGTGCACAAACTTCCTGTCATTAAGTCACAACTGAACACAGCTCACAATATTACATCTAAGTATTAAAATGCTTGAATATAGGTATTTTATTGGCAACAATATTATGTAGACTTTTGTGGAAATACAAAATGTCTGCAATAGGGTTAGGCATAACCATTTTGTGTGCAATTAATTGTCAGAAAAACAATCGATTATTATTTGGCACTTGATGATTAATATGATTAATGCCACCAGGTGCTCCTCTCCGCTTCAAATATGACAAACATTTTTTTAAAATGTTCTATAATTTATTTATCTATCAACACAATTTAAAATTAGATGTGTAGCCTGAAGTCAGTCATTTTGACACAATTTGGAACAGATTTTTACTAAGAGCAAATCTTTCCCACTAAATTGGTCATGTGACATAAGGGTGTACAGGGACACCAGATGATTAATCGTCAAATTAATCGTTATRYGCTAAACACCACAATTAATCGTGATTTTTTTTTTTTTGCCAATATTACCCAACCCTAGTCTGCAATAAACTTCCAGCTTTAAACGCTTACGGCTACAATGATATCTTGACATAGCTTGTCATCATATCCAAAAACAAATGTTTCACTTTGCTAATTGTGTTTATTTTCAGCAACTTAAAACATTTTTACAAGAAACTGATGGAAACTATGAAAAATTGCAATGTTGTAGTTCAAGTTATTAATACATTATATTGAAAATGAAATATTAAGAAAATAAAAAAGAGAATGAACTGAAAACCCTGATATGACTAAACCCTAAGCAACAAAAATGAGGAAGGCAACTTGAAAACAAATGTGACCTGGTGGTTTAATCTTTTGCCATTTAGGTTGTTGCCGTATAACATCAACAATAGTAATTAATAACAACATCAATAATAATAATAATAATAATAAGTTGAGTCACCATCTGAAGTAAAACCGAACAAGTACCTGCTGATTCAAATATCTCACACACCAGTGTAAATGAAGACCACAGGATCAGTGTCAAATAAAGGCAGAGCAACTGTGTTTCTATTTTTAAAGCCTTTATGTGAATGAACAGTAAAGTCAGGCTAAATGGAAATTCTCTTAATTATTACTGAGAGTCCAGATCAGCTTGCACTTCATGACGTGAGCCGTCTTCCCTAAACAGCACCTTGAACACAAAGAGAACGAGCTTCACTAAGACAGCTGGTCAGTCTGACAGACTCGCTACATGGAACAAAGAAAAAACAAGCAGAGAGACAGCATGATCCGCCTATAGATTATGAATGAGTGCACCAGCTGTTTGAACATGAGATTCTGAGTTCTCACGCTTCTGGGATTCAATCGGGTACAGTTACATGTACCTGAGCCCSCTCCCTGGACGGACACAGTTTGCTTACTGGAATGGTTACAGATGCTGTGACATTACCCCAGCTTATAAATCAAGTTACAATCTCAGTGGAGAGAAAGGTTTCTGCCATGAGCTGCCTGCCAGTCAAATAAACACCTATACAAAACTTGTGCTGTACCAAACGATTATTTTCTAATCGATTTATCTAATGATTATTTTTTTCGATTAATTGATTATTCTAACAACAAATCTATAAGTTATTCTGATGTGAGTGCACTGGAAATTTAAGATTTTTTCATCAAATTAACAAGAACAGTTCTTTAATATTGTAATATTTTCTGTAATTGTAATATTATTGTAATTGTAATATTTTCATGAAAATCTCACCACTCTTATGCCAATACGGTCGCAATGATGCTTTTACCAAAATGGAATTGCATGAACATTCATGTGGTGGTTATGTAATACAGCGAATCGATAAAAAAATCTGCGTTGATAAATTTACATAATCAACGTCATCGATTATTTCAACTAATTGGTGCAGCCCTGCTTGTGACGTCCACGGCCTACACTGTGCATGTGTGTCAAGGACGGAAAGGCAGATGTGGCAGTGGAAGGTGTCAAAGCAGTTTGGAGAGAAAAACAAAGTAAAGAACAAAAAAAAAGAAAAGGATTAATCGATTATTAAATTAGTCATCGATTATTTTAATAATCAATTAATTGATGCAGCCCTATACAAAACAAAATATCCTCATTGAAGTGTTGAACCAAAAATGTCTGAATCGTCTTAAAATGGCAAATGAAAGTTAATTTTGGTAATGACAAAATATAAGACTAAACATGCTTTTTAACCCATGATGGATTAATCTGAACCATTCACCTGCCTGATTTTGGAATATGTGTGTATTGCTTGGTTCAGCACAATGATTTGTGGCAGTAAAAAAATCCTATAATTTTTGCCACGTGGAAAATCAGTTCACAGGATTGGTTGGAAATGCAGAAAGTTGCTGAAGCTTAGGGTTTGTTAATCCTCCATTTTCCCCACACTTTATTGCAAGAAAACAATGGATGGGAGCCTATTTGCAATCTTTGTGCGTCTGACATTTATGTGACAAGGCAGAAAAGCTGGGGGAATATGTTACAAATAGCTGAGGCAGAAAAAGTCATAAATTTTACACTGAACTAAGTTTATAGCAAAACAAATCTACTGTATGATTTGGAAAAACAACTAAATTTATTTGGAAAAGGATTCTATGTTCCTAATATCAAACTGTTTCATTACTTCAGTTTGTCCACGTCTTGAAGATTAACAGATTTTGAAATGTATATAATTATCCGTGTGTGATATTCAAGTTTACTAAATAAAAATGTATAAATAGAAAGTAACTGAACTAAAAAACTAAAAAAAAAAAAAACTGAACCGAATCAATCCATGAATTTTGTGAACTGTGCACCATCAAATGTAATTAAAAATAGAGTTAAACCACTTGAGTCGTGGACWGATTAGTCTGACCTTTGCAGTTTTTTTAAGTCATTTGCCACATCTGTACACACTAAACTGCTGAACACATTTCTTATGTTTGACTTACATTTCTTGTGTTAGTGATTTTTATAACATGGGTGTTTCATGGCTTTGTTGTGTCTGTTTGGTAACATTTTCTATCAAACAGGTTCAAACATGCTTCAGAAGTGTTTAAAAACACTCAGGCCTGTGCTATTCCTACRTTTGACCATAGTTCACCCTACTATAATCACTGCCCCAAATGCCTTCAAATCAGTTTCTTTTTTGTTTTGTTTTCCTTCTTCTAGTAGACTGTAAAGTGTATGAATAAAGCTGTTTAATTTATGAGGCAAAATTTGATCAGTTGACTTGACTTTTTAAGATCAGTAACAGCCATTAGGGCTGGGTTTAAAAAAACTTGATTTAATCGATCTGGATCAATTCTCATTCAAATTTGGGAAAATCGATTCATAAGTCATGAGATCGATTTTTTCCAAAGGGTGTTGTGTGCGATGAAGCTGCGCGTTTCCATGCTGTGTGTCACTCCTGGCTTGCCGAAGCTTTACAGACAGTTGATGGTCAGCGCTAACATTAGCAAAACAAAACAAACAAACAAACAAACAAAAAAACGAACAAAGGAATTACTATCATTACAGCTGATTCTCAGCTGAACTTTAAGATAAACAGAGGCCGTGACAACTTTTGTTTGCAAAGATTTGCGCTCGGACACGGTAGCAGGAAACGAAGCTTCGAGCGTCCCGAACCAAAACTACGGTATGTAAACATCTGACAGAAACTGTTCTCTTCATGTATAAATGTGTGAAAGATGTCAGTCTAACAAAATCGGTTAGTTTTGTTACCAATGTTATTTATAAATTTTAGAAACATCTTAATGTAATTCACAGTGGTGTAATGTTTTAGCTGAAGTACTTTTTTCCCCTTTCTTCTTGTTAAAGTTTTATTGAACAGAAGTTAACAGGAACATTACAAATATACAGTTTTCATATYCTCAAAAGAGTGGGCAGAAGTAAATACTTATATTATCCTACCTCTTCTCCTGTCACCTTATTCCATCACTTCTTAATGATCAAGAAAATTATTCTTAGTTTCTTCAAAAAACGAATGTATCCAACAACTCTCTCTTTTGCAATTCCTTTTTAGTTTAAACCCTTTGAAACTCGACAGTTTTGTTTCAAGAATAAACTCCAATTAAAAATTTGCCCTTAATGTATATAATTTTACCAATGCACCAAGTTAGAATTCGTTTCTATTTGCAGAATTAGTTCCTTTGAGAATGTAAATGTGTTACTGCATGATAGCATTAATTTAAAAATCAATCAAACTGAATCGTGAAATGTCCTGAATCGTTGTGAAGCATTGTGAATCGAATCGGGCCCCTATGAATCGAATCGATTTGGGAAATCTGAATCGATACCCAGCCCTCTCAGCAATAAAGAATCCCATACCTCTCACCAGTATAAGGTGGAACAGACATCAGACAAGCAGATGCAGTTTTGTGTTTCTTTCCAGTTTTTCATTTTAAAATATAAATACTGTATTTTCTTCTTGACCTCAGATCTGTTTTTTCTTTTCTTTCATGTCAATAAGGTAATGCCTAGTCAGGGTTGTTCAGGGTGCTCTTCCCCTTTGGACCTGGTGTCCCAGTCAGTCAGTCAGTCAGTACATACATGGTGCAGGCTGCAGCTGATTCCACTGCTGACTATTTTTCTCCTGGTTTCGGTTCTTTATATGAACAAATTGAACCAAAAGATTTTTAATTGAGGTCAAGTCAAACACTTTCCTTTGTGGAAATGTGTGCATGTGCGTGCACGTGAATCAAATACCGGTAGCCACTGTCTGTCTCTTAGGTTTCTGCAGTTCCACACTATGGTATGTGGGTATAAATAAATCATCCAGCTCCATCGTCTGAGTGCACACATGGATACGTGCTGCATGTCGGAGTTTGTTGCAGCAACATAACCTGTGTGTCCTTCCCAAATATCAGAGAAAAAGGGCAGGACAAATGGATCATCATGTGCAGGTTGTAATAATTATCCCAGCATGTGTCTAGTACCTCAAAATAGAACTGTAGGAGAGATAAAGGTTCAACCGTGTAAAAAAAGGCATACAGCAGACATTCATGGCTGCAACTAAAGATTATTTTAATTATTGATTAATCTGTCCATTATTTTTTCGATTAATCGATTAATCGGCCAAATCATTAAAACACTTAATTACATAAATATGAGTAGATATAAATTAATTTAATTCCTGTACAAATTAAGGATGCAAGTTATTGATTAATTAATTAATCTGAAGTTGATTTATCTTATAGATTGACTAACAATTAATTGATAAGCAGCCATTTTCTTAAAAACTGGAGTTTTCTCTTGAATCAAGGGGGTCTTTTCATAACATGAAGGATTTTGTTTATAATCTCCTGAATTAAAAAAACAGAAGCACATCACACAGCGGGTAAAATAAGTATTGAACACGTCACCATTTTTCTCAGTAAATATATTACTAGAGGRGCTAATGACATGAAATTTTCACCAGATGTCGGTAACAACCCAAGTGATCCATACATACAAAGAAATCAAACCATAAATGTCCAGAAATGAAGTTATTTGTAATAATGTGGAATGACGGGAAAAAGCATTGAACACATTTACTGAAATTTATCTAATACTTTGTACAAAAGCCTTTGTTGTCAATGACAGCTTCAAGATGCCTCTTGTATGGAGAAACTAGTGGCATGCATTGCTCAGGTGTGATTTTGGCCCATTCTTCCACACAAACAGTCTTCAAATCTTGAAGGTTTCGTGGACCTCTTCTATGAACTCTGATCTTTAGTTCTTTCCATAGATTTTCTGTTGTGTTCAGTCAGGTGATTGGCTGGGCCATTCCAGCAGCTTTAGTTTCTTTCTCTGAAACCAACTGAGAGTTTCCTTGGCTTTGTGTTTGGGCTCATTGTCTTGCTGAAATGTCCAGCCATGTTTCATCTTCATCATCCTGGTAGATGGAAGCAGATTTTTATCAAGAATGTCTCTGTACTAGGGCTGCCACAAACGATTATTTTTATAATAGATTAATTACCGATTATTTTTTCGATTAGTCGACTAATCAGATCATACGTTAATTGAATATAAAACATAGAGCTTATCGTGCCAGAATGCAGCTGCTATTATATAACCATCCTTAGATTTTAGCTATATGCTAACTAAAAATAATTGCTGTGGAAGTTAAGTTCTGCTCTGCAGATATTACACAGGTTTCTCTTTCATTTTCTTAAAATGATCCCACACTTTTGAGCTCCGTTGCTGGGTAGCCATGATACCAGAGCCTGTCTGTATAATGTCTTGTGACGTCCACGGCCTACCCCAGTTACCACTACTGTGCATGTGTGTCAAGAACAGAAAGGCAGACGTGGCAGTGGAAGGTGCCAAAGCAGTTTGYAGAGAAAAACAAAGTAAAGAACAAAAAAAGGAAAAGAAAACGATTAATCAATTATTAAATTAGTCATCAATTATTTTAATAATCGATTAGTTGTCGATTAATCGTCGCAGCCCTATCTGAAATAAGAAAAGACATTTTATTGTTTTTTAAAAATATATACATTTCTCAATCACTAAATCCCTATCCTCTAATCATGACTTCAGGCAATCAAAGAGACTGTTACACAATACATTCAGGGGTGTTCGTGAGTCCAGAGATTACTCTGAGCTGCAAAAGTGAGCTACAATCTTACAGTGAGCAAGTCAAATCCAGAAGAGAACCAGTCATTGTTTTCCCTCATGCCAGACCTGACTTGAAGAATTGAGGATTATATATTTTTAAGTTTGAACAATTTTATAAACTGGACTTTCAATGGAAGCTGCAGGTAATATTATAAAACAAAAAGAGAGAACCTTTTTACTTTTCCTGCCCTTTTTACATCTTGTGACAATATCTGGACTCAGAATGAATACTGTGATCGARGCATGAATTTAATTTATAAGTAAAAAGGTAGGAAATAACTTTGTTTTATTGAAATGTGCATCAAGTGAGCTACAGACTCTACAGGCATGAAACTCAATGCACATCACTGTTCTAAACACACACACACACACACACATACACACACACACACCATTTATTTTTTTTCATTTTAAAGTCATCTCTTGTTATCTTGGGACAATTCAAATCAAATAGATCACTTGGCTCCTGTAACTGTCCTCAAGTTTAATTATGTGACGTCTCTTAGTTTTGTGTATCTAGCTTTGTATTTTGGATTTGTTATATGTTTATGCTGCTATGCAGATCACGCTTAGAAAATAAGTTTTTAATCTCAATGAGTTATTTTCCTGGTTAAATAAAAAGGAAACTACTGCACAATATCAGGAAAACTTGTGATGTGCAATAACAGAGCTTAATATTGTGATGATGATATAACTTATGATAAATGAACAAATACTGAAGAATGCAGTGTTTGTGTTTCTGCTCTGGCTTCAGAGCAAAAACTAACAACTAATACATCATTTCTATTCAAACATGACAGTTTTAATTTAAAGAAGTGTAATTAGACACATCTGCTCTGAAACATGAATGCAATACAGTTGGACTTTAAAACGTCACATCCATAAAACATTTTCTCATGGTCTAAATACTGAAAAACTCCACCTCACTATCCGTTTATTTAATAAGTAACAGAAACATCTGAAAATAAGGTAAAGAATTAAGTTAAATAAAAGTTAAACCTAAATCCAARCGTAAATTCTCTTACTGCAGTTGTCCAACATTTTCTCCACTCACCAAGTGGTTCTGATTTGATGTGGTTTCTCTGGTCCATTTTYTTTTTCAGACCYCTGCTGACAAAACGCATAAACAAAAACATTTGGGCCAACCATTTTTTGCAGTGTACCAGTTTTTGGCGATAGGCATATTGCACAGGCTGTTATCGCGATGATGGTAAATTTGCGGTATACTGTGCAGCCCTAACACACACGCACAGTGTATCAGAAATATTTATAAGATGTGCAAACTAATTTAAACAGTGAAGGATACTGGATGATTATAACTGGAAACAATAAAGTATTAAGGTTTACAGTCATTAAAGGGTTGAAAACGCAGCAGGAACARATTGGATTGAGACTGAATGCAACAYTTGAAARACAYTCAGATCAAGACYGAGCTTTAGGCACCATATTATATTGTAGGAAACTGCGTTTGGTGTTTAAGAAAGATTGCATACAAGTTTGTTTATATTTATTAAAAATAAAAATGTGCCCATTACAWTATTGTTAACTTGCAGTAAAAACTRTATTAYTGATGCATTTTTAACATTTAGTCTCAGTAGCTAATATTCTACGATTAAGATATTAAAGTTGTTGATGGTAAAATGTACAACACACACATACAAAGCATGTTCTTCAAGAAGAGTGATATCAAAACAGGCACAAATTTGTTATCCTTATCATTCACAAAACAGCTGTGTACTTTATTGTGGAAAATGTCTTTGGTGAAATGAATGGCACTCCTGACAKGATGAGATAATCAGGTCTCATTCATTGCCAACATGGTGTGAGCTCATGCACACAAAGCAAATTATACACAGCTCCAAATGATCTCGTTAAGATAATCACTGAAACACACAAACGACTGTATCTCCTTCCTGCTGTGCTCCACACGTTTGCTGTTACTCAGCCAAAATAAGAAAACTCTACCATATGTGAAAGTATATGTGTAAGAAATTAGAGATCTAAAGTCACAAGGTCAGTTAAACAGTTTATCAAGATTTATCAAATGTCGCGTTACAGCTTCCATTTCTACTTTTATTTCATATAAAGTGAGATAAAAATAAAAAAAAAAGTCATTAGCTCTTACTTTTCAATCAATTCACCAATGTCTTCTGCAAACACAACTTAGACTTATACTGCAGTTGTTGTTATTCCTTTAATTATAAAGTGATATTGACTAACAACACTTTAGGGGACTGCACATTTGGCTTATTTTGCTGTTTTTCTGATGACTAAAAATCTGAAACAACTTTAGTTGCAGAACAGAACATTTCATTTCCATATCGTCTCATAAGCATCACCACATGAGGCCACTTGTGAAACAGCAAAGTCAAGTGTTTTTAAACCTTCTTCATAAATGCAGGGTCTGTAAGTGGGGTGACAACCCAGAAAAAAAAAAAAAAAAACGTTAACCAACCTTGGTGGTGTCATCATGGGAACGTTGATAGCGTTTCCATCGGCAGCCGTAGATCCCAGTGATACATGATAAACACAGCTGGCGCTCATAGACCTGGAGGGGTTGGTGCTTTACCATGCTCCTTCAGTCAGTCCTGCTGTCAAAGCCACAGCTAACATCCCACTGGTTACAAAATACCCTGCAAAAAGAAAAAAAAAACAGGACATGCTAAAAAAATAAATAAATAAATCCACAAAAAAATGGTATTTGAAAAAAATGTATATAATAAAGAATGCAATCTTAATGAGCACCATGTGTCATAA